CACAGATATTGGCTATGGGATGAAGGGAAATGAGGAAAAAAAATTCTTTTTTTGAGATTGGGTGTTAGTATGTCATCCAGGGCAAACTTAAGGTCTTGTACTGCAGACTAGCCTCATGTTCACCATCCTGCTGCCTCGGCCTACTGGGGTTATAGGAATGTACCACCACATCCAGCTCCACTCCTCATTTTAGTTTTCCACTTCTGCGCATGCATTTTAGCACTATTGCAGTGTAGCAAAAAAAATTCCTCAAGATGGGTTAAATAACTTTGATTCCTATTAGTCTTTCTTAGATTCCTAAAGATTGGCACACAGAAGAGAAACTACGACTAGAAAACTCTTCTCTCACCCATGAAAGGAGTGCACAGCTTGACTTGTTCGTTCTTCACATGTGTAGCAGAGAGCGCTATTCCTCAAATGACTTAACAATATTGAGAATAGGAGGAAATGAGAACATGACTGTGGAGTTAAAATGGGTCAGATTTTAGCATTTCCCCTGTGCAGAAGAATTGTCAGAGCCAGGATCTGAGGACACAAAGATAGGAAGTAATAGAGGCAGCTCACAGACATCTCAAACTGCAGCTGCCCTGAGATGCTGTGCATGTGCCGTGAAGGAACATAATTATAATACCTGCAGTACCTTCCATGTGCCTGACCCTGCGCTGACTACGCTGTTCTTGAGGAACATCGTGCAGGAGACACTAATAGTGTGTCACTAATAGCAGTAACCTGGGGTAGAATCTTGAATTTAACATTTACCAGCCTGGGCAAAATAGGTGAACTCCTGAGTGCTCAGTTTTCATATCCATAAAAATGTGAACAGTGCTAGGTCAACAAAGAACTGTTTTGAAGATTGTAAACTATTTAGAATAGTACATGGTAAGTGGTAGTTGTGTGTGTGTGTGTGTGTGTGTGTGTGTGTGTGCATTAGTACTAGGCATCAAACCAAGGTTCTCATGCATGCTAAACAAACACTCTACCACTAAGCTTTATCCCCAGCCTTTTTGTTTTACTTTTTATTTTGACAGAGGTCTTATTAAGTTGCCTAGGTAGGTATTGAATTTGAGATCTTCCTGCTTCCACTTCCCTAATAACTGGGGTTACAGGCCTGTGCTGCCAGGGGCGGTTTCTTAAAAATCAAATTCAGGACAGAGGAGATGGCTCAGTGGTAAAGCACTTAACTATGCAAGCATGAGGACCCGAGTGTGAGTCTCCAGAACACCCAGGTGAAGCAAGGTAGTAGCATCGTCTAATTGCAGAACTTCCGTGGTGAGGTGGGAAGCAGAGACAGGATCTCTGGGGACCAGCTAACCTGGTGCTTGCAGCAGGGAGCAAGAGAGATCCTGTCTCCAGGTGGTGGGTGAAAATTGATGCAGAGGATGTCCTCTGACCACCTTGTATGCCATGGTGGATGCGCACCTGGACTCACACACAGCAAAATTTTTTTGTTTTTGTTTTTTTCTTTTTTGGTTTTGAAAACCTCTTGATTATAGCTAAGTGGTGTACAGCATGATTTGTCATTTACTCAAATCACCATGAATAGGAGCCAAACAGTCTGACATCATGCTCGCGCTGTTGGTCATAATGGTAATCTGTTGAGGCAGACCCTCAGGAAAGCATTCTGAGAAGAGGTTGAGGAGCTGAGTCATGTTGGATAGAAAAGTGGTGTAAAGAGGAGGAGGGCTGGTAAGGAATGGTATGACGAGAGAGGAAGTCTGTGAGCAAAGGATGGAGTCATGGTATAGAATGGCGTCCACAAGCAGTAGTTTACTCTTACTGGGAATCGAAGCAGGAGGTTGATTAGAAAGGCTGCAGAGAGGCAGCAACCCAGAGAACTCATATGTTGTACTTAATAGCATCTCTATCTTGTAGATGGTAAAGACATGGGTAAAACTAGAGGCAGGAGAAAGCTTTGTAATAGTACTGCAGAGAGGGAGCCTAACCTAGGGTTTCTGGCAGGACTAGAAAAATGGGTGGGGCTAGTTTGACAATACTAAGCATGAATTTGATTTGGGAAATTGTGGTGTCATTAGTAGAGAATGTGAGTATACATTTTGATGGAGAACATGCTAAATTTGAGGACAGATATAGCAGGCAGATAAAAGTTTGAGTCTGAAGTTAGAGTGAAGAGTCAAGACAGAATAAAGATCCAGGAGTTAAATTATGACCTAGAACCACATCTGTGTCTGGTTCTGGTAGGCAGGAAACAAAACTAGATCACGGATTAAAAGCCACATTAACATCCCCCCGCCCCGAGATTGGATCTCACTATGTAACCCACTATGTAGTCCTAACTCATGTGGCCAGATGGCCTCTAACTTAGGTCTTCCTGCCTCAGCCTCCTGAATGCTGGGATTACAGGTACATACCAGTGTGCCACACTGTAAGAACCACAGTGATTATCCTCGGGGTGGTTAATACAAGCCATGTGGTCCTTCCATTTCTTCACTTTTCAACAAGGTGTATAACATGTCAGGCACTTGCCAGGCTCCATGGAGACCAGCAGTAGTGAGCTAAGGGTCTTCCTTGATGACATGGGCAGTGAGGTCCTATGTTTACTCCAGTATTCTTGAATCAAGTATAGAGCAGGTAGGAATACAGTTGTTGACTTTCAAACTTAAAGACCTAGCTGGGGCCGATTGCTCTTTTCAGTTGCCTTTCTTTACAGTTTATGTGGAGAGCTAACTTTCTGTATGCTTGATTATTCAAAAGGTCTGAAGTGCAGTCTATGGCTCCTTTGTAGAATTAAGAATATGAAATAGATAGATCTTTAGAAGGATTGGAAGTTACAAACCCACTGATGAAGTTGCTTTTTCCAATCAGAGTCATTCAGAATAATTATTCCATTAACAGTCGACCTACAGAGTTGTACAAGAGTTTTAAAATCTGGCTCTCTTTCCTTCTCCAAGCATGCCTTTTCTCTTACCCCAGTCTACACCAGCTTCTTAAGTCTCGCTTTAGGGGCGTTGGTAGCCTAGGTGTGTGTGTGGAGAGAGAGAAAACAGTCCGTTTCCCACTTCGGTGAGAGTGGGGAAGATTTTTTTCTTATCTAATTTATTTTTTATTAATACATAATAGAACATATTTATGCATTGTGGCAGGGAAAGCACGGCAGGGGATGGCGGCACTGTGGGCAGCTAGGGTCAACTGCTTCTTACAGGAAGCAGCTCTAGCCCTCTGTTTCCCATGTCTGCCACCTGGGCCTCATGTATAGAAGGTTCCCCAAACAGCACCGTCAGCTGGGGACAGGTGCCCACACAGGAGCCTGTGGAAGACATTGCACATTCAGATCATAGGCAGTAGATAAAGGGGTGTGCACCATGTGATGTGGATGACTTGAGAGAACTTGCTGTGAAATGTGAAATCAGAAGCCCCATAAGGAGTCCAGGAATTTCGGAATGGGCTGCATGTTTTCACTGTGAACTCTTGGTGGAATGGAGTCGCTCATGAGAAGCCCCTGTGTTGTGATGGGGAGCTGTACCTCCTGAGCCAGGAGCTCCTGCTCCTGAGTCTCACTGTGTATTCTTGGATTGTGTTGGCACATGCACTCTGCTTGCTCATCTCCAGGTGTGTTTTCACACCTGTGCTACGGGACGCTGTTTCACAGTCGGGTGGATGTTCCGTTAGATGGTAAGGTGACTTTGGCACTTTGAAGCTTTGTGCTGGGACTGCTAATGCTCGGTTCATCTTTGAGCTCTTTTATTTATGCGTGCCTTTTCGGAGAGAATTATTTTCAATTGCTGCTTTAAGAAACAGTATTCTAGGTATGTCGTTATTTAGGATGTCTCTTAAAGTATTCGTTAAGTTTTTTCATTGATAGAAAATCGAGGGAGCAGTACAATTCCAGTTCTCAGGCATGCCTAATTGATTGTTAATGTGGGAGCTATGTATAGAAACAGTGATTTAAAAAACAGGATACTAGGGAACTATTGAGGTTTTTTTTATTAAACTTATGTTTTGAAGCTGTTGGGGTCATTGTGCCCCCCTTTTTTCTAACAAATAACTTTATAAGCTTAATCTTTGAAGGCTTCAAAGATGAATTGCTTTAAAAGGAGATTCAATTGAACCACATCATTAATTTTTTGCTTTGACTTTAGTTGAGGATTTGTATGCCTGTAGTAATGAACCCAGTAATGTAAGCAGACCAGCTAAGTGTCTGAAATTCCTAAAGCTATTGGACAGTAGCTTAGATTTGCAAGAACAGATACAGAGAATAGTGAAAGGAGCAGTTCTCAAGAGCATTTGAAGTACTCCAGTAAATTCTTGCTAAGGCCAGGAATTAAAATTTTAACCTCTTAGAAACTAACTCTCATCAATCCCTTTAGAATCACTGTGTACTCTCATAGGTCTGAATCTTGTTCCGTTGTGCTGTGGAACTTGTCATTTGCAGTAGGAGTTTTTGTTTTTGTTTTTAAATAAGAGGATTTAAAAATTAAAGTTTCAAAAATGGGTCTTCTTTGGCTTTGGAGTTTTTTTGCTTTTTGTTTTTTGTTTCTTGGGTTTTTTTTTGGTCTTTTTGAAACAGGGTCTCTCTGTAGCCCCAGCTGGCCTGGAGTCGCTATGGAGACCAGGCTGGCCTTGAACTCACAGCGATCTGCCTGTCTCTGCCTCCCAAGTGCTGGGATTAAAGGCATGCCGCCTCCACGCCTGGCCAAAAACAGGTTTTCTAAACATTTAAAACATATGAATGTAAAAATCTTTATTGATTGCCTCTTTGAAAAGAATGGCTTTCTTAGAAGTAATTTTTTATCTTGTAAAAATATTGCCAGTATTCTTAAGAGCAATGTTTTCCTCCACTGTGATAATCTCATACAATTTGATAGAATTTGGGTGTAAGGTGGCATGTGAAATGGGCTGCACCGCTGCTCTGCTTGTTTTATAATCTTTGATTTGGTCCTTACTGACTCCAGAATCACAAGCCATCTATTAGACTAGTATTACTATAGTATGTGGCTTATATAATAATCTTTCTAAAATAATCATATCCTTGTTTATTTCAGAGCCTAGCAACCTGACTCTAAAAATTTACAGAGCAGAATCCTATGCTGGTCTCCAGGAGTTCAAAGCAGCCATAGATGATCTAAATGCAGTTCTCTTTCAACTCCCAAATTGGCCTGAGGTAAAACTACCATTTTATATTTGCATAAATTTTAAAGTGTCAGTTCTACAGACCTTTAGTTACAGGTACATGTTTTTAACCAAATGGGTGGTTGGCTTCAAATGAAATATATATATGGGGACTTAGGAGCAGCCCAGTCAGTAAACCACTTGCCATACAAGCATAAAAGCTTGACTTCAATCCCCAGGACCCACATAAAAAGGCAGGTGTCATGGTATGCACTTGTACTACAAGTGCTGGTTAGGTGGACATCTGGGGCTCTCCAACCAGCCAGTAAGCGTACTCCATGAATTCCAGGCCAATGAGAGACACTGTTTCAAAGGTACAGGATGGATGGGATGGCACTTGAGAAAGGATACCTGAGGTTAACCTCTAGATTCCACACAGACATGCACACACATACATATAAAAGAAAATCATTAGATAAAAGAGATAGCTTTCTAGAAATGTAGATAGAGTTAGTATTTGAAGCTAATTATATTAATCAAAATTTTTTGATTATAAAAGCTTTGTTTCATAAGCAAAGAACAACTCATGACACAGAAAAATCCATCATTCATAAAATTAAAGATTCCACTTGCTATACTTTAAAGATGGATTCAAATTGGACTTCACCGAAGCTTTTTAATGGAAAGAGCATAGTCCTTGAAGCTGGGAAATTGTTTAATTGCGGTGAGGTGATTGGACAGTGAATTTATCCACAAGTTTACCTTTACAGGTTTTTAAAAACCTGAGGGATGTATATAGCATGTAATCAGTTTGCAGATTCTCTTTATATGCCTTCCTTAAGTTCGAAGTTGTCTTTTATGGGTTTTTTTTTTTTTCCCTTCACTCAAAACTGCCTTTGAGGACAGAGTAGTAAGGATGCATAAAAATTACACAACAGTGAGAAAGGTGGTAGAAATCTCCTGATGGCTGTACAAGGCAAGTGCATATTAAAAAGAAACAGGACGTCATTGCTTGGTATTGATAGCGCTAAGACTTACAAAGGAAAGAACTCTAGTCTTCTCATTGAAGTGTTGTTTTCTTCATTAATTTAAATGGTAGCTGAAGAATTGACCAGAACATTCAGTGCAAACACACACATAAGTAAAAAAATAAAGCAAATCTTTAAGTCAGTAATTTCTTTAAAATGAAGGAACATGACATGTATTTCTGGTGTTGATAAGCACTAACTGCTGTGAACTTTGGTTGAGTCATTTGGAAGCCTCAGTGTCTCATTAAAATAGCTTCCAAATGGTGTGTCCTTCTTAGAGTCACTCAGTTGCAGAATCAGCATTTCTGAGTACCCTTGTTTTTTTCTCTTGATGAAATTTTAATGAATAGTTCTATGCATAAAAGTTTTATATGTGTGTTTTTGTTGAAGGTCTACTTCAGGAAAGGCAAAGTCCTCCAGGATGCTGGCATTTTAGGTGACGCCTTACAACTCTTTCTTCAGTGCTTAGCCCTTGATGAAGATTTTGCACCTGCAAAGCTACAAGTAGAAAAGGTACCAACTGTCATTATCCAAGGCAGGGATGAGAGGATTTTTTAAAAACTGCAGATAGGGGCTAGAGATATGGTTCAGTAGGTAAGAACACTAGCTGCTCTTGCAGAGGACCCAGGTTTGAATTTACTACCCACAACCTTCTTCAACTCCAAATTCCAGAGTATCCGACGCCCTTTTCTGACTTACATGGGATTGCATGACATGAGTGCACTTACATACGTGTAGGCAATACACTCACACATATAAAAATAATAAATATTTTTTTAAAGGCAGATAGAAAGCTAGACTAAGAATGTAAGAAGTTTACCTGAGGAGCAATTCAACAAGCAGTTTTCAGGTTCATATACTTAATATATTCTTTCTTGATCGAAGTAAGGCATTTCCTTCACAGATGTTTCAATGTAGTATTTTTGTTCAGTTAACTTAGATACTCCCTAACTCAGGTTGAACATCCCTAATTTGAAAATCCAAACTCTGAAATGCTCCAAAATCTGGAACTTGGGGGTTGTGATATCATAAGTGGAAAATTCCATAGATGACCTTGTGTGACTGGTCATAGTCAAAAGACAAGAACACTAAAGATATTATATAAAATTACCTCAGGTTATGTGTACAAGATGAATATAGAGCAAATTTTGTGTTTAGATGATTATTGCTTAAGCACCACTGAAGATACTCTTTTATTTATGTTGTATTGTATTTCCTTATGCTGATTTATGATGATTCTGATTTCTGTGTGTTTGAGATAGTGCAGATGAGAAACTGAACCTCCAGACATAGAGTTTAAGGAATACTCTGCTATATATGTAGACTAATATTTTATACAAATACTTGATTTTTTTCTAGCCAAGCTTTTCCTGTTTCCTAACCCACAGTGTTTATTCAAGTGTTTTGGATTTATTCTCTGCATGAGCCACCCAGAAAGTATGATTCTGCAGCCATCTCTGTTTAACTCTCAGGTGTAGGGTTGCTGTCGTTTGCTGCACCCAAGCAAGTGGTCAGCAATGGTGACTGCCTCATGGGTTAGCTGTGGAGTGACAGGGTACATTCGGTATAAACACAGAATTTTAGGGTGTTATAGTTGAGTTCAGGCTCTTAAGTTCACATAAACACCACAACACTCTAATTCCAACCTGAAAATACACGCTGGTGGATGCCTTGACTTATCTTGATAGAATAGGGCTCACTAATATTAAAGGTAAATAGTTTCTGCTTTCTTAAAATCTCTTTCCTTTACAGCTCTTGTGTTCAAAAGCTAGCGGCTCCCTTGAGCACCTTCTCAGGCCACTCCGTGCCTTCAAAGCTTTGAACTCCTTTTATTCTTTAAGTGATTTGCCCTCCTCTGAGATATATCTTGATTTGCAAGACTTTAAAATGCATTTTCTTCCTGCTCATTAAAATAGTGCCTGGTACAAACCTCACAAAAATTTTAATAGGTAAGCTTATATTATTCTTCACCAGGTATTTTGTATTTTCTATCACATTCTTATAATATTTCTTACAGATTTTGTGTGATTTATTATCACCTGAAAACTTAAAAGAAGGCCTGAAGGAATCTTCCTGGAGTTCGTTATCATGTATCAAAAATAAGCCTTTTAGTTTCCCTTCAGTAATGGAAGAGTCTCTCTCTCCTGGAGAGCTTAACCTGAAGCAGGTAAGGGCTGAGCACACCTGTGTCCTTACAAGTCAAGATCTCCACTTTACTTTCAAGCATTAAAACATATTTAGGTGCCTGTTACCCATCTAATTATCATAGTAGGATTTTTTCTGTAACCTTTGATTTATATTAAAATTCTTTATGTAAAATATTTATGCATTAATCACCATTTTAGGTCACTTAAATGTCAAAAAAGCATTTAGACTCTCAGAACATGCAGACAATCAAATATTTTATTTTTATTTTTATTTTTTTGTCTTTTTGAGACAGGGTCTCTGTGTAGCCACAGCTGGCCTTGAACTCACAGAGATCCACCTGTCTCTGCCTCCCGAGTGCTGGGACTAAAGATGTGCGCGCCCCTCCCCCCATGCCCGGCCATGAATATTTTATTACTCAACGTAGGTATAGCTGCATTAGCACAACTGCTTTAAAGTCACTATAGCATCAGGCAGCATGATATCTAGGATTGTATAATTTTTAGAGTCAAAAAGTGCACATTAAATGCTGGCCATGGTGGTGCACGCCTTTAATCCCAGCACTGGCAAGGCCAAGGTAGGAGGAGGATCTCTGAGATCAAGGCCAGCCTGGTCTACATAGTGAGTTCCAGGTGGGCTGGGCCTACAGGAGACCCTGTCAAAATAAAAAAAAAAAAAAAAAGAAAAGAGTCACATTAAAATGAGTATTATAAGGAGTTGAAGTTTCACTTCAGTGCAATTCTTGGCAAGAAGAATAAAGAACAGTGAAGAAACCTTAAACCTTTTCTCCTGTGTTCTGTAGAGTGAAGAAAGAGTGGAGGACACCCCAGAGCCTGTCAAGGGAAGCTTAAACCACACTCAGTCCTCACAGGCCATCGGCGCTGCCATCAACACCGTGGGAATGCCTGCCAGGGAAGACAGCTTGAAGAGAGTATCCTCAGAACCTTTGTTCTCTGCTCAGAGAGAAGGTGTTCTACTGAAAAGAAAGTTGTCTCTCTTAGAACAGGATGTAATTGTAAATGAAGACAGGAAGAATAAGCTTAAAAAGCAAGGTGGTAAAATTGTCCTTATTTTCTTAAACGAAGTAAATGTATTTGTTCAGAATGGTCTTTAAACTTTTTTCCTAAAGAATAAGACCCTATTTATTTATTTGAATAGAGTCTTCCAGTGAAGATTGTGTGTTTTCATTAGCTTATGGTGACATCCCAGAAGAATTAATAGATGTCTCAGATTTTGAGTGTTCTCTCTGTATGAGGTAAGTATGTAAAACTTTATAGATGATGAATATGTTAATGTAAATGTAGATAAAGGTAGGAATAGGTGAGATAAAGTAACATCATGTTAGATGAAGGATCCAAAGATAAGAATTTTAGTTCTAGGGGGCTAGACAGATGGCTCAGTGGATAAGAACACTGACTCTTCGTGCAGAAGACCCGGGTTCAAATCCCAGCACCCACATAGCAGCTAACAACTGTCCGTAACTCCAGTTCCAGGGGATCTGACAGCCTCTTCTGTCCTCCACCGGCACTGCACGACACAGGTGCATTTACCTACATGCAGGCATAACAGTCATACACATAAAATTAAAATAAATAAAATATTTTTAAAAAGATATGTA